CAGTTTTTCTGTCACGGTTCAGTGACTGTGGCCCCTTACCAGCCCCTGATTTCATCAGTCAGAGAAGAGAGGACAACGTGAGATAAAGACGATGGCCAAGCATGTTCCTCTGATTCCCACGCTGAGCACACAGTAGGTGCTCAATAAAATAGGTCAGATGACTGGCCAGTGAGTGCATTACAATTTTTTCTCTACTCTCTCTCTTCTTTGAACCACACAAGATGACCTTCAACAAAAATATATAAATAAGTACATAAAGGAGGCCCAGCCCACTGACTTTCCTTGGGGATCCAGTTCCCACAAGAATGAGACAAACAAACAAAAGAGTTCTCCCCAGAGCATGTTATTCAAGTCTCAAAATAAGACCCATCTCTCATTTCAAGGTACATTTATTTTAGTGAGGTAGGATAAAAATTTTGTGAGAGAAACAGAAACGAATAAGCTGTTGTGTGGGAATAGGAATTAAAATAAGCAGTGACTTGCCGCCAGCCGACGTGGATGTCCTCACATCCCGCAGCCTTATTTTTAGTTCCATTCTGGCTTGTTTTCTTCGCTGGCGCTTTAAGATATGATAGGTAGGTTGGAAAGAGAGACCCAGGGTAATCATTAAGCCCGTCCTAGGTACATGGTGCTTTCCTCACATTACCTCACTGAATCCCCACTTCAACTTTACGAGGAGAGTGCATTCATATCCCTATTGTACAGGTGAGAAAATGGAGTTTCAGACAGGTAAAATGACCGAGCTCAAGGTGACCCATCAGCAAGAGGCTGGGGCAAGACGTGAACTGAGGCGGTGGAGCTCAGAGCTGGGCTCTGCTCCCCTCTGCTCTATTGACTGAGGGTTTGTGGCAGCCCCCAGTCTCTCTCTCTCTCCCTCTCTCTCTCTCCCTCACTCTCTCTCTCTCTCTCTCTGGTAAAGCAGGTCTGATCCCAAAAAAGCTAAGGATATACCTGGACTTAGGCTATACCATGCTAGCTCTGTGGTCCTAGTGGCAACTCTAGAAACGGGAGGTGGGCAAGGAGGAATGAGAAAGAGAAGAGGACACATGAGGGTGCATGTTCTTAAGTCCGATCTCTTCCCTGCCTGCCTGAAGTGAAGGGTTCTGTAAGAACAGATGGAGGAGTGCCACAGACAGCAGCAAAATCAGCTCAGCCACCCCCACCAAGTCCTCAAAACCCAAAAGCTTTTCAGGGTAAGGACAACAAAAGTGTGGACATAAAGTCAGACCAAATCTGGAGCAAGCCACCCCTACACCATGTCCAGGCTGTGTGACCTTTGACTAGAGCGTTAACCTCTCTGAGCCTCTGTTTCCTTATCTACAAAATGGGGAGAATTAGTTCCTAGCTCATAGGATTGCTCTGAGGATTGACTGAGTTCATGTATGGAAGGGGCTTATCAGAGTGCCCAGCACATAGTAGAACCAGATTTAACATTCGCTGCTATTATGAATACACCATCACATGCACACAATAAATACATACTATGCTATATAATATGCAACCATATATTAAGAAATCAAATGGGGTGTGGCTATGCTCTGGGAAAGGTCAGGGCAGGGGTCATGGCGCCCATTCTCTTTTTTATCCCCCAAAAGGCCAGCTACAGCACAGCACCCTGCTCTCGGCCAGGCTCCAGAAGTGTGTGCAGGAGAACCAGGGGCGACTTTAGTTTCCTGCATCTCATCCCAAACCTGAGCCAGTAAAGGCAGCACCTTTTCATTTTCCAAGAGGAGGGCAACACTTTCTGAAATGCCCCATTTAATGGGATTATTCCCTCTCTTTATAGGCCATCCCTCATGGGAATGTTCCTTTTATCTCTGGCAGCTCATCGGTACAACAGTCGTTTCACGATGTAATAACCCGTGTATTAAATCAGACACGGGAACCTCCCTGAAATACTATTATACTGAATTCTCTTCCATAAGAGGCAAACCAGTTTTGAATCTCACCCAAGGAGCTTCGTTACCAAAGAACAGGAAGTAATATTTCACTAAAGGTGTTTTCTCTTGCAAGAGGAGAAAGATTAGTGGTAGTGGTTGTTGTTACTTCATAGCCTAAAAGGTCGTTGGTCTAGGTTTTCAGTTTCAAAGCACCTATGCTCCTAATATACTATATAACATACTTATTTATTAGACTCATTTTTTCCTGTTCTTCCCCTACTGCAATGTCAAAGGGATAGTATGCTATTTTATTCACTGTTGTTTCCTAATCATCTGAAAAATTGACTGGTATATAGTAGGTGTTTAATAAATATTGTAGAATTAATAAACAAATTGAAGCACCTTTCAGAGAATAGGTTTTTTGGTTTTTTTTGGAGAGCAACCAGGCAACCACAGTTGATGCCAAAGTGTAACTCAATTTCTTCCCTTTTCTCTTTTTTCCCATTTTTCTGTTTGCTCTGATAGATTTTCACTAAGTCCAAACACAACTCCAAAAATTAGGATTAAATCGTCCACAAAAAGGCATGGGTTTTTAAAACAGCTAAGCTCTCCTGACACTAAGCATCTTTAGGGAGCCTTTCACTTACAAGGAGCCTGGGCTCCACAGCCTTACCTGGCTGCAGCGGAGGGATGTCTCCACCACAGTCATGAAGGGGGTCTCCTCAATCATCTAAGACCCCAAGGGACCAAAGGAGAATGAACCCTCACATAACATTCTGATTCATGAAGTGTGAGGACTGGAAGGAAATTTAGTCCAAACCTCCCATGTTTCAGATGGGAAAACTGAGGGTCCAGAAAAGGAAAGTGGCTGTTCAAAAGAGCACAGGGTCTTTAGAACACAGCCAGGAAATGAAGGCAGATTCCTTTCCTTCCTTTCCTCCTTCCTTTCCTCTCTTTCTTCCTCTATCCCTCTACATTCCTCCTGTCTTCCTTTTCTCCCTTCCTTCATTCCTTATGTCTTTGTTTAAGGTCGTGTGTGTGTGTGTGTGTGTGTGTGCACGTGCACACATGCATGTGTGGACTCTTTGCCACAAGATGGTTTAGAAGGAGCCCTGGTTAGCAGCCCACATATAATTTTGACTCAGAAATGTTAGTGATTTAATTTCACTAACTTCTCTGCCCTCCCCAACAACCTAGATCCCAAATTTCCCCAAATTTCCCATTAATAATGCAAATGTCTTAGAGATTTTCTGAGCTGAAAGAACCTTATAGATCAACTAGCCTAACCTTTACTTTACAGATGAAAAACAACAGGCCGAGTGATGAAAAGTGAGTCCGTTGGGTCACAGAGCCAGTTAACTGCTAAGCTGCGGCAGCCAGGACCCTTGGCACCAGAGCAAATTTAGGTCACGCTGAGGACACATCTCAGATTTGTGTGCAGCTCTAATGGTCTCATCGTGTTGGCTGGAAAACCCAATCTGAGCAAGCACATCTCAAATCAAGTATGAAAACTTTGCCACTGAGCAAGCAAATACAGTTCTAATGAGAGAACTGGCAGAAAGGAGAATCCCTAAAGGAAACACACACATGTGCACACACATATATGTATGCATGTGATTGTTGCATATATTATATATAAAAATGCTTATTTTTTTTAAATATTTGATGCTAGGTATATAATAAATTCACAGTGCTAACAAGGACATCAAAACATATTGCTAGTGGAAGCATATCTTGACATAACATTTCTGAAACATAATCCATCCATATCTGTACAAACAAAAATACACATATTCTTTGATCTAACACGTCCTCTTCCAGCAACCTAGGACTATCTAAGGAAATAGAATCATATAGATATATAGATGACGGTGTTTAGTCAACCATTGTTTATAGTAGAAAAAGAAAACCATCAGGGGTCCACATTAGTGTTGTAGCTGAATAAACTGTAGTGTAACAATTTATGAAATTTTGTGTGGCTGTTATAAAATGACTTATTACAGAGCTGAAGGGCTCTCCATATCATTTATTGGTAAGAAAGCCACACTGCAGTACAATGTGATTGATACAAGTATTTTGTACAAAGACCACTGCCTCTAAAAGACTACTATATGTGCACACCCATGTTTGTTTGTGGTGGAAATAGCAAAAAGGAAAGTTGTGGAAGTCTGTTAACACTGAGAGCAGGCAGTGATGGATACGAGGGGAAGAGATGACTAATATTTTCTTTATATATACATCTTTGGATGTTTATATTGACTATATAACACATATATATTATTTTGAAAAAAAATTGGGTTAAGACCAAAAATTTCTAAAAATAAAAACAGATGGAACCCACAGAGTCCTCTAAGTCCTGTTTCAGCCTCCCTTCTTCCCCTGTAGACCCGTGGCAGCAGAAACAGTCTGAGAAAATTATTCAGTGCAGCAAGGAGAACCTCTAAGTTATTTCTCTCAGCCTTTAGCTGCCATAACCATCCTCTGAGCTACTTTTCCCACTAAATTGTCCTAATCCCGATACAGGAAGTGACCTGCACACAGAGACAGGAAATGAGATGTGAACACAGCATCAGCAAAAGCTCTTCCTTTAACGCAGAGAGGGAGCTTGATCTCCCTCAAAGTGAGAGGTGACTCAAGACATTTTACCTTACCCTGCCCCCAAAGGAACTCGTAACTATAAATAATCCATGCAGGACCCACTTTTCATAAAACGAAGCAGCAGCTAGTCGCCAACTTTGGCAGATAGGCCTTCTGGGCCACACGAACCAGCTACTCGGAAAGCTGGCCTTGCCCCATGGGCTTAGGTGCCCAATACTGACTTCGAGTTGAAGGAACAGTGACAGAACCATGAATGGAGAGGTCCTGGCTGTCACTGTGAGGACCACTAGGATTCAACAACAATTCAACTTCATTACCTTCAGCACAAACTGCGCGAATCATGTAGTCTAGTGCTCCAAAGAGAACTGTCGCCATCAACTTCTGAAACTCTCAGAGTTGTTCACATTAATACACAAAACTTTCTTTCTGTCAGGACCGCCCAGCCCTCTGATCCATGCTAGATTCTATATTTCAGCCATGGCTCTGGAACTGATAAGAAGGAAGGAAGAGAGATGGACTTACCAAGCCAACTTCTGTTTAAGTATACAGATACAAACACTGGGGGGACCGTGAAGAAATCTACCACAGAGTTCACTTCCAGCCAGAACCACAGCTTATCGTTGGCTGCAATAAACTGGGGGAAAGAAACAAGAAGAAGAAAACAATGAGAAGCATGGCGCAGGCACTCGAACTCTACTCTTGCCAAAGTGTATGCTTTGGTTTTTCCTGGGGGTCTGGAGGGAGATGTTATGTTCGTCTCATATCTATACCAATCCCATGCTGTTTTTGTCTTAGAATTCAGACACACAGGCTTTTCTAAAGAGTGATTATATGCTCGGTTAGCCTTGGCGAAAGCTTAGGCAGTACATACCTCTATGGTTTCCAATAGCATCACAGGGAAGGCTGAGTGGTCTCACCTTCATTAGACTCTCTAATGTATAATATGTGCATGCATTCATTCACGCACACATGCATGTACGTGTACACACACACACACACACACACCTGTGCAATCCATATTTTTACAGCTCTCATCGTAAACAGGGTCTAATATAAAACCCCCCAAGCCCCAAATTGTGCAACCCTACCCCCTCGATCCCACCCTCACAACTGTTCTTTCAGGATTTGGCTAAGTGAGCACTAATAAACATAATTTTAAGGGTAGAAAGGTTTTTTGGTTCGATTTAAGGGAACAATGCCCTCGTGTCTGAATAGAGGGAAGAGAAGCAGGCGGCCAGTGGAGGCATAATAGTTATTTCAATCCCTATTTCTCCCCCTGTGAACACAATTAACACATCTTCAGGAAATGCTGTGCTAAGGAAATGGCTTGCTCACAGACTGAAAATCAGATCGCAAGTCTGCTGTCCCCCTGGAAACACTGGGCTCCATTGTGCCTGTGAGAGCAGACACTGGGTGGGGGACATGGGGTAGCAGGGGGGTACCCTAGATCCCAGACTGGCACGCCCCCCTCACCCCGCCCTGTGATACTAAACAGTGTTGCCCAAACTTACCCGCAAGCCAAAATAGAGCAGGAAGAACACGTTGAAAGCCATGTCGATCTGTAATGTGAAATCTTTGTAGAAATTCTGGCAGGATTCTATTGGGCTATCAGACAGGAAGAAGAAAAAGCAAGGGGTAAGTGCAAAGCATCGTCAAGTCTCCCACAACCCTGTGCGGTGGTGGTGCTCGGGGTAGAGGACAAAATGGATATTCACAAAATAAAACATTTAGTCTTTGGACCCCCTGTGATAATCAAGCAAGCATTGCCAAAGGGTCTTTCCATTCAACCATTCAGTCATTTGTTCTTTATGTGTGTTTGTAACTTTACATATCTATTCTTTTTATCATCATTCAACAGTTGAGCTAAGACTCTAAAGAGGATCATGCAGACACCTTGGAGGAAGGACAGGCAGGAGACACCACTCAATTCCTAATTTCATATTAACCCTTAAAGAACTGACTTTTTCTTTTAGAGAACACATACCAAAGCTAAAAACAGTCCCCCATACCCTCCAGCACGTTGGGAGTGGAGCCCATTTTCAGTTAAACACAGTGGTTGTGTTTTGACCTTTTTAAAGCTGTCAGTTGATTAATAATAAAGGACCCAGGAGCATCTCGGGAAAGCTGTGGAGGAGAGGATCCTGGGTGATGTTCTGGCTAGACACCGTATGGACTTTATTGTGCAGCATTCTGATCTGTGGAAAGAAGCATTGCCCAACTGATAAAGTTCAAGGCCATTAAACCAAAATGTTGAAGCAGTACTCTAAGGGTTAATTTTAATTTATCTTTTTGGCATGCAGTTTAATTGGCTTTGTGTGTGTCAAGCAGCCAATGCGAACCCCCAGCAGACTCTACTTTGTGCAAGAGGAGGCAGTTCCAAAAGGTACTACTATACAAACTGGTACATGGCTTCCATGTGCTTTCCCGAGACAAACTGATCAAAGGATCAGTGTGTGAAAAGTCCCAAGTGTGGGGCTGGGTGGGAAGCAGGAAAGCCTCATAAGCATCTCAAAGCTGTGAATGAAAATTCATAATATATTGTTATCTAAAAGCAAACGATAACACTTCAGGCCAGGAACATAAAGAAGGTGAGGTGAGGGAAAGGGAAGAGAGTATGGGGAAAAGCAAGATATTTTCCCCCGGTGGGAAGCAAAGTAGACCTCCGGGCCAGGAGAGGGCTAGTTTGAGAAGTGCAGGATGGAGGATTTCCGAGTATCACCACTTTGGAAATCACTGTAGGCAATACCAGTTAGTATAGTTGTACTTCTACAATATAAGGACAATACTTGGTGATTCAACAGGCAGGAATCGGTGCAGTACAGAAATGCAGGGCCCACCTAGCAGCATGGTGGGTCAGTCTATGGAACTCTCTCATATTGCATGCACTGGATTTATCCATTCTTCATCTTGGTTACAAGTCAAACATGCCCTTTGTCATCTCTCAAATCACAAATATGTGAGGGGAGGGTCCTCCAAACAAGCATCAAGAGTAATCTCTATTTGCATTTACAAACTAAGTGGGCTGAACAAAAAAAGAAACACTGAAAAACAATTCTTTTATAAAGGAAGTGACAACTGCTAGGTTTTCACTGAGGTCGAGAAATTAGAGGAATTTGTTTAGTCCAATGTTAAAAGGAGACAGGAGAGAAAGCTAAACATGGCCGTCTACAGCTGCTCTTTGCCTGCTCTCCTACACAGGTATTAAGTTAAAAAAAAAAAAAAAAGAAAATCTAGACCTAGAATTAATAAGTGACACTTCAATTCCCAAGTCATGCTGGCATTTTGTTTTGTTTCAAGAACAAGACCCACAAGGTTCACAGGTGCCAGAGTTCTTAGCTACTGGAGCTGCACTGAAAAGAAGTACATGAACTAGGTTGACCAGAAACCCACTACAGATCCCAAGGGATGAAGAGACAATGCATCTCTGTGCTATGTGAGCCATTGGTATGATGTGCTCCTGAAGAATAAAGCGTGTGTGTGTGTGTGTGTGTGTGTGTGTGTGTGTAAGCGAGTGAGCAAGAGAGTGAGGATTGGGAGATCTGTTGGTAAATGCTGCACTCATGGCTCCATGTGTGCTGGCAGTCACTCGGCTGTGCCTTATAAATTCGTATTTATTAAGACTGATGTGTAGACACAAGGGGACAGGGAGAAAACCGTGGTTCCCAAGTCTATTATGGGAAATCCACTACCCCTTCACCAAGGCCAAATAATAACCTTACTATTGCCCTCACAATAGTTATTGGTGGAGTTACTGTTGGCATATTTGGGGCCCTATGAGTTCCCTCGCTCCTATTAATTCCATGGCCTCTGTGGTTAATTTGGTAGTAATCTTGAAATACATCTAGTAGGGAAACTATTTGCAAGGCTGTGGAAGAGAATAGAACCGTGGGGCAAGTGATGTTATGGGGGAAGCCATTGAGGATGTTTTGGTTCCACATAAATGGAAGCAGATGTTCAAAAGAGCATAAGGAATCAGGCGGTAGCAACCTCTTTCCATTGTTCGGTGCCTTCCTGGTCCTTTCTGCTGCTCTCTCCTACTTTGCCCATTCCAAAAGGCAACAATAAAAGGGCTTGATGCCAAAGACACAGGGTTGAAAAATACACCTCAACAACACCCCTGATTGACACAGAACAAGGTTGAAACCATAATAGACCTTTTTTTCTATCAAATTTAGAGCTGATTTAATCATTGTTTCATATCGTTCCTTGAGTCCTAGACTTTGAGCTGAAATAATAAAGGAAGTGAATTATGCTGCTGGTGCTGGTGGCTTTCCCTTTGGCTAAAGCTCACTGTTCAATGAAAGAGGGGGAGAGAAACAGGAAACTTGGGGACAAAAGAGGGCCAAACCCTGGGATCCAGGTAGGACCAGAGTCCTCTGGGAGTCTGTTTTCAACCCCTTTTTAGCTCTTTGCTTTTTGATCTGAAAGCCCAAGGAGAAATATCCTGCATAGTTTTTTTTCAAGTAGCAATAGAAATATTTATCAGGATCCCCTCCGAGCTAAATCCTGAGTGCCTTTAGCCCATGGACTCACACAATCAGGGACCACAGAGGGGAGATCCCAAACCCCCATCATTTCATTCCCCAGATGGCAAAAACCCACGGAGAAGTTCAGTGGTGTTATAAAAAGAAAATACATAATTCAACAACAAAAGGGTTGGCCATATCAGCCAGATTTATTTTCCTCCCAAAGAGACTTTATCGTAATGATTAATGCTCAGTGTTGGATGAAGAATGAAATACAAACTCCTCTTCCTTCTTGTGTAAAATAGTTCCTTGTCTAGATACACAGACATTTCAAGAGCTAGAAATCACTTTTTTTAAATTACAAAGGAAAGTGACTCCGGATTACACACTTAAATTTGAATTGTCATTCTCATGAGGCATACCCCCATCAGAACAGGCTTTCTATGGACATATGTTGCCAATGGGGGAGGGAGGCGGGGAAGTGGAGCTTTAAGAATTGAAATAAGGACGCTAGTTCAGATCCTGGTAGTAGAAAACTGACTTTCCCTAAATTGTTCTTGGTTAACTAATGACTTAGTAACTAGAGAACACCAAATATTGGTAAGCTAAAGAACTATTGATTCCTAGGCTCTCACAGTTCATGGATCAAGTGTGATACTAAAACCTTAGGCAAATTCAGTGTTTTGATCAGGTCTCTCTGATTGGGACACCTTCAAAAGAACTTCAATAAAGAGCTGCTTCTTATAGGATAAAAGTTCAAGTGTAGGAAAGAGGTTAAAATACAAACTCCCCTTTTCTCTTGACCATCAGCTAAGCACATCCTCAGTATCTGGCCGTCTCTATATAGAGAAACATGAGATTCACCCAAAGTGGGACATTCATCTCTTCCTTCATCAATTTAACCATTTAATAGCCAATGCAGACCCACGCCCAGGAAGATCTGAAGTCCTTCTTGAAGACTGACTTGAGAACTTGTCTTTCCAAAGTGCAAGGCAAGCCATGGCTACCCAGGTTTTCTTTCAAAGGGCAGAGGGCTGAACACAAAAATCTCACTTCTAGCAGTTCTTCCTCTGGACATCTGCATCATCTCCAAAAGTGAAGTAGTTGTCTATTCAGCCTCTACATTTCCCTGGTGTTTTCTGAAGTCTGGTTTCCTAACTCCCTGAGTCTGGCTGTCCAACCCTGTGAAGATATTTCTCCAGGGCAGTGGTTCTCTACCTTCAGAATGCACCTGGAGGGCTTGTTAAAACACTGGTGGACCCCAGCTCTCAGAATGTCCAATTTAGTAGGTCTCGGATAGGGTCCCGAGAATTTGCATTTCCAGCTGTTTTCCAGATGCTGCTGCTTATCCAGGGACCACACTTTGCCAAACACTGCTCTAGAAGAATGTTCTTGCAGCTACACACTAATTATAGGTGTTGCTGCTTGAGAAGTTCCCCATTCAGACCTGAACAGAGATGAGGAAACGTTTGAGCCTGCCCTTAGATAACCAGCTGCATACGACTTAACTCATTACTGAGATCAAAGGTGTGAACAGATATTTTCAGTTTCAGATGTGAACATGGGAGAAAAAAATTAAGACGATACAGGGAAGTAATTACAGCATCGCTATGCAAGCTTCACCAGTGACACTCCAATTAAGCATCAAAATGTGCCTGAGCAGCACATTTTGAGTTTAAGATTAAAAGGAAAAATGATGAAGTATAGGTGGGGAGAGGTTATAAAGACCATCATTTATTAGAGATAAAGAAATGGTTAGCAGCTAAGGAACAACAACAGCAGCAAACATCCGAGATGATTTAGTAAATAACAGCACGAGAGGGAAGGGACTAGCTAAGGAACAAAACAGCACTTTGAGAAATAATTTCCAATATTTAAATTCCCCTCACTCCTGTGGCTAGTCCCTTTTTAAATTGGATGGAGCCTTTTCAATTCCCACCAGGATTATGGACCACCAGAGTTCAGGCCTAAGCACCACAGACACAAATCAATACAAGAAGCTTAATGATTCCAGACACTTCTCCTAGTCTCACCTCTGCAATGTTGCCAGATTAATTTAATTAAAAGATGTCATTCGTCCATCATCATGGCTCCCTCCTGCCTCGTACAGCTACTCTAAGCCTGGCCGTGAAGAACCTC